AAAACTCAACAAATAGAAAATAAGAAATGTCCATAATGGTTGAAGCTGGATCTTTTAATGCTTAAATAATTCAATATAAATTTGTATATACTATCCAATACATATGTAAATGCATATATATCATACTTGTAGTCATTTGAATTGCGCGCCGAAATTTTATCGGACTTAAAAACGCAACTACCGAAATAAATATCACAATTGAATTTTAATGCTCAATAGGCATCTATTAAGCTCTTAATATGCTGGAAATTAATAAATAAATCTATTTATTGTGAAAAATATCTCGGCTAGGAGTTGCACCCGGATCTTTAACATTCAGGGTTGGCATTATTTTACCCATCTTAAAAAATTGCAGGAGGTTTTTTTTTAGTGTTTGACCTACTTAAAAAAACCCGAAATTTATGAGTTTTTTGAGTTTTATTGGGATTTTGTAAGAAAAATAAATTTTTTAATCGGTAACACATAAAACAAACGTATTTATAAATATTAAATGAATATAGGAATATTAAATTAACTGGACTGATACAATATTAACATATTATATCAATTTTAATATATACAGGGTGTACTAAAAGTCTCAGACCCTTTAAATTTAAATATCTTGAAAAGTACACATTTTCAAAAAAATTGTTTCAGAAAAAAGATGTAGTAGGTTTAAAAAGTTCTACTAATCCGTCTGACCTTGGCGAAATAAAAAATTTTATTAAACAAAAATTTGTTTATGCGTTAATTTTAGGTATTAAATTATCCACATAAGTATTAATATAGTTTTTAATACGTAGTATTATTATTTATTTTTTTATCTTCACTATAGAAACCTCGGTAGACTAAAAATTTAGAATCTCGTACGGAATGTTAAAAATCCGAATACAACTCCTAGCCGAGATAATATTTTTCACAATAAATAGATTTATTTATTAATTTCCAGCATATTAAGAGCTTAATAGATGCCTATTGAACACTAAAATTCAATTATGATATTTATTTCGGTAGTTGCGTTTTTAAGCCCGATAAAATTTCGGCGTGCAATTCAAATGATTACAAGTATGATATATATGCATGTACATATGTATTGGATAGTATATACAAATTTATATTGAATTATTTAAGCAATTAAAAGATCCAGCTTCAACCATTATGAACATTTCTTATTTTCTATTTGTTGAGTTTTTATTATATAGAAGTGTTTTTTTTTATTAAAAAAATTTATCACTATTTCATCAATATCTGTACAAAATTTATTCATAATTAATTTTATTTGAATATGTAATTAAATAATGATAAATACAACGTAAACTAAATATTACGTGAAAAAAATCAAATAATTATTTTTATTTTAAAAAACTCCTAAAAAATCCCAAAAACCCAAAAAAACCCTAATAAAACCTAATAAAACCCCCATAAAACCTAGCGGATTGAATTTTTTTTTAAAAAAGCCCGCATATTTTCCAACATTCCGTGCAAGATTCTAAATTTTTAGACTACCGAGGTTATTTATATAATAGTGAAGATAAAAAAAGAAATATATTAAAACTATATTAACACTTATTTGGATAATTTAATACTTAAAGTTAACGCTTAAACAAATTTTTGTTTAAAAAAATTTTTAATTTCGCCAAGGTAAGATGGATATGATTAGTAGAACTTTTTAAATCTTATAACTATTTTCTGAAACATTTTTCTTGAAAATGTGTTCTTTTTTCAAGATATTTAAATTTAAGCTGTCCAGGACTTTTTGTACACCTTGTATATATTAAAATTAGTATAATATGTTGACTTTGTATCAGTCCAGTTAGTTTAATATACCTATATTTTCATTAAATATTTATAAATATGTTTCTTTTAAGTGTTACCGATTAAAAAATTAATTTTTCTTATACAAAATCCCTATAGAACCCAAAAAACTCATAAATTTTGGGTTTTTTTAAGTAGGTAAAACCCAAAAAAATCCCCTGGGTTTTTTTTAAGTAAGTAAAATAATGCCAGTCCTGAATATATGCAAGGTGTTTGCATTCAAAATACCACAGCAAGATAATTTTTGAAAAATTAAGTAAAAAAGTTATTTGTAAATATTTGTTTCTCAAGTAATAATTTTTGAGGTAATAAGGATTTAAATATAGCTAATTACAGACTATGTTTTGATGGCCACCTGTCCATGAGTTGCGCATGCAGTAGATTAGTGAGCTCACACTTCAGCGCGCTTACTCACAGGTAACTGTCTACATGTAGTCTATAATTAGTCATATTTAAATTCTTATTATCTCAAAAATTACTGCTTAAAATAAAAATTCACAAATATATTTTTTTACTGCAGTATTTTGATTTGTGAATTTCGGAATTTTGTATACTACACATTTTACATATCCATAATTACAAAAATTATGAAATCTTTTACTTGCGATTATGAAAGTCAGTATTATGTGATCGTTTAAAAAAACAAAGTTTACACATTCTAGGTTCCAGCCACTGGACTAGCGAGCCACAGCCTCAAACCAGGAATCGCACCTTTCCTTGCCGCTTCTTAGTGAAGCCTCCCGATGATAAGGACCAGACTATGGAAGAGAAGCAACAGCGAGTATCGAAATACGAATCTATGCAAATCAGTTCTGCTCTTCTGCCCAATAACGCTGATCGTATCGAGAGTGGTGATGTATCCTCCGAATCGTCAGACATTGTTCCTTGCGTGATGTGCGTAGCGCGTAGAATACCGCCGAACGAGAAGCTCATTAGTCCTGTTGAGCAATTCACCTTCAAATTGAATAGCGCTGGGACAATAACCAGGGTCGACAACAGTTGGTTACCCCCCACTTACTCCAAGTACATAAACAAGGTAAAGAGCAATGCCGCATATTATTATACTGTTCACTTATTCTTAATATATGTAGTATAATAATAATACGTAGTATTCGATAATTGTTGAACTCTATTACATAAAATGGTAAAGTATATACGAAGAACCTTGTACTCTTTGTACCTTGACTAAGATGAGAATTTTTTTATGATTTGATTCTAGTATAAATTATTTTTTAAAAGAAGAAACGTAAGACTGCGCTTTGTAATCTTTATTTAATACATTTAGTAATTACAAAAGTATACTGTCTTTTTTTTTCGTTGGAGTAATGAAATTAATCACATTTGTCTACCGCTGTTATTTATTTCAGCTACTAAAAGATTAAAACTACTACTAAATCAGCTACTAAATGATTGATGATGATAATTTAGTAATACATTTTTCAATAGCTTTAAAAAGCATTGTTATCTTTTTGCGTAGTATAATTATCATTATGCTATATATTTATCTGTAGGCAATACAATTAATTATTTTTACTATTAAAATTATTTTATCAAATTAAAATATAAAGCTCAATTAAATAAAATAATTTAAAAAATATCAAGAATACGAACTAGTTGTTAATTGCTAATGTTTAATATTCTTTCTAAATGATATACATTAAAAACAGAACGTTTCGAAAAATGAAGACATTTTTAGTGTTATTAAAAAGTAAATAATAAACTAGTAATGTCCTAACTGACGCTTTTCGTAAAATTTCCATTCTTATACTAAAATAATCTTAAAATAATCTACTTTTAACAATTTCTATAACAATCTAATTAAAATTATTTTAATTTTTTTTATTTAGATATGTGTCTTCTTTCCCTATCTCAAACAGGGTTGGAAAAAACCCGGGTTTTTTTTTTAAAAACTCAACTCACTGGGTTTTATAGGAGTTTTATTGGGTTTTATTAGGGTTTTTTTGGGTTTTTGGGATTTTTTAGGGGTTTTTTAAAATAAAAATAATTATTTGATTTTTTTCACGTAATATTTAGTTTACGTTGTATTTATCATTATTTAATTACATATTCAAATAAAATTAATTATGAATAAATTTTGTAAAGATATTGATGAAATAGTGATAAATTTTTTTAATAAAAAAAAAACACTTCTATATAATAAGAACTCAACAAATAGAAAATAAGAAATGTTCATAATGGTTGAAGCTGGATCTTTTAATGCTTAAATAATTCAATATAAATTTGTATATACTATCCAATACATATGTACATGCATATATATCATACTTGTAATCATTTGAATTGCACGCCGAAATTTTATCGGGCTTAAAAACGCAACTACCGAAATAAATATCACAATTGAATTTTAGTGTTCAATAGGCATCTATTAAGCTCTTAATATGCTGGAAATTAATAAATAAATCTATTTATTGTGAAAAATATTATCTCGGCTAAGAGTTGTACTCGGATTTTTAACATTCCGTGCGAGATTCTAAATTTTTAGACTACCGAGGTTTCTATAGTAAAGATAAAAAAATAAATAATACTACGTATTAAAAACTATATTAATACTTATTTGGATAATTTAATACCTAGAATTAACGCTTAAACAAATTTTTGTTTAAAAAAATTTTTAATTTCGCCAAGGTCAGACGAATTAGTAGAACTTTTTAAACCCTACATCTTTTTTCTGAAACAATTTTTTTGAAAATGTGTACTTTTCAAGATATTTAAATTTAAGGGGTCCGGGACTTTTTGTACACCCTGTATATATTAAAATTGGTATAATATGTTAATATTGTATCAGTCTAGTTAGTTTAATATATCTATATTCATTAAATATTTATAAATACGTTTCTTTTAAGTGTTACCGATTAAAAAATTAATTTTTCTTATACAAAATCCCTATAAAACCCAAAAAACTCATAAATTTCGGGTTTTTTAAAGTAGGAGGTAAAACTCAAAAAAAACCCTCCGGGTTTTTTTTGGGGTGGGTAAAATAATGCCAACTCTGAATTCTCAAAGCCGATTACTGAAAACTATTGACAAACGCATTTTCTATTGCAGGATATTCTGGAAGGCAGAACGCTTAAGGAGTTGTGCTACCCTCATGATCGATTAATACTCATGAAGCATATGAGTGAGACGATCAAAAAGGGAGAAAGTACGAGCGATGTTTACCGACTGCGCGTTACTCCTGATAAGTTCCTTAAGATACAAACAAAGTCAAAATTGTTCAAAGCGCCTGTAAATGTGCAGGACGACTTCATGATGGCAACTAATTCTATTATTGGGTAAGTTTGCTTTTATTTCTTGCGAATAATTTTAATAGCATTACAGAGAATCATTATTATTCTTTAATTCTCAATTTTGAATGATAAACTCTAAATAAGTTATTATGCATATTGAAAAGTACATAGAAGTTAAAATAATCTTATTATATATTATTATATTATATTTTACAGGAAAAAGATAATCCCAAAAAATGTAATAGTTAGACAAAGAAATAATTTGTGAATTGGAATACGAGAATATTTCTTTTGATATTAAAAATTTAATAAATTCTCACATAATTTTTTATCTAAGATAAGCTTAATGAAGACACTTATTGTTTTAATATTCTATGTTAATCACAATTTTTTAATTTCACTTAATTTTTGGTAGATTTTTATATTTTATATTATCTAGTTTGTTAATAACTTTTAATAACCTTTCTTTAATATATATAAGTAGTTTTTAATTGTTTTAGCACTAACGCTTTTTCGAGTACAAAAGTGATACATTTTTACTGCACCTAATTTAATATATGAAATACATTACGGGACAATAAAAAATTATTTCTAGAAATGGATAATAATAATAGATTATAATAAAATAAAATTTTTAGTTTGTAAATAAATTATATTTTTGATAACAAAATTGTTCAAATATCTTTGCACAATACTTAAATATAAAAATAAATATTCTAATTAGTTATCTCGATTCGTAATACGTTTAAGTTTTAGAAAAGAGAAAGGATGTAATTGCTGTACAGCTTACATCTTTTTTTGTTTATTTGCACCAATTTATTAATTTTAGATCATTAAATCAGGAAGTTTTTTGTTTCATAGTATTATATAATACATATTTGGTTTGCAATGAATTTGCAAAGGGCACAACATTTGCATGTACATTAATACGGTTTCTTATTGGTGTTGGAGATCTGGCCACTCTTGTTGAACAATTGTCTTTCACCGTAACCTAGTAGTTATGTATGTATTTCAGTTTGCTTTTAATGTTTAAACTCGACAACATCCGCCACATATTAACTTTGCTCAGATCTAACATTGTCATATTACACGTGATTTATTTACGTAATTTATTTTTAACGATGATAACGATGTTTATATGGATATGGTGAGGGCTTTTAAGCACACAACATTTGCTTGTTACTGTACTCATGCTTCGAAAAATTCATTACGATGTTTTACTCGAGATCTTTCCGAATAATTTTTATCTTAAATATTTTATATATTGAAAAAAATAAAACTTTTTCTAAAACTTAGGATATGTAATTAAAATACCTATTGTATATCCATAGTATTTTATTAAGTTCTTTCCTAAAAGTTAAATTCGATTTTAACTTATTAATTATTTTTAGCACAGTTGTACTTATTTTTCTTAAACATTAATATAAAAAAAATTATTCAAGTCAATCTTTCCGCAAATTTAAAAATCTTAGTGAATTATATACATTTAAAAAATCTGATATTTTGAGTATGTATACTTAATGTATTAATAATTAGTGAGATGTATGTTTATAATTTATAAGAATTGCTTTACTTATACATGTAATCCTACATTTATGCATTTAACGGAAATTAATATTGATAGAGAACAAAACAAATCACATTTGCGCTAATATTTTTGCACGAATAAAGTTCTAACATAACTTTAGAATGTTTTCTGTTTTTAATTCTGTATATCTAAATCATGTTTGGAAATATGTGTAAATACAACGGCATCTGTTCGTTAATAAATCTTAATTCAACATACACATCAGTTTAGATAGATTTCGTAGTAACTTAATTATTTTCTTTCTAGATAATAAATGATTTTGAGACATTTTGTTTCTAGTAAATTAATTAAATATGACAAGACGCGTATAATAAAAAAAAAATATTTTTGTCTGATGTAGTGAGATTAAACTGCATCGAGTTTCCTTCTTTCTTCTAACTAATCAGTTCTCTACAAATTTTAATGCGTCTTCTTTCAATTGATCAGTTCTTCTTCAATTGATCAGTTCTTCTTCAATTGATTAGTTGAAAGAAGGCGCATTGAAATTTGTAAAGGGAGAAATTTAATATTATTCTTCACATCTAAATAAAGATAACATATCTACATAACATCTTCATTTTCCATTGTACTGAATATGTAGAATAATTTTTAAGTTTACAATTAAAATTATGATATCTATAAGAATTATTATATATTAAAAATATTAGATCTGAAATCATTTTGTATAAAAATGAATGTAATATATTCTATAGCAATTATATGATAATTTTATTCTGCAAGTCTGCTGATAGTTTTATTCTGCAAGTTTGCTAGACGAGACTGATTGCAATACATATAGGAAATTTCTTAAACTTAGATTTAGATGCTATTCTTACTCTTAAAGCTACAGGATAACGCAAAAATAAATTACTTTTGATACTCTTGAAGAAAGATTAAGCTGATGTGGAATAGTGTGTGATAAATAGTGTGTTTTTATAAATTACGCTTAGTCTTAAGTTAAAGAGATGCAGCTAACTGGCAAATTCATGTGTTATTTTGTTTTTCTTACTCATAATAGGGACAATGACTTAATGCCTATCGAGGGTGGTCAGCTTTCCAACAACAAAGTGTGCTCAGGACACTCTAGCAACCGTTGTGCGAATAATAGTAATAATAATAACGGTAATAATAACAATAACGTGGGTGGCCCGCTGATGTCCGTCGCGCATCTGAACGGTCAAGTGAGTGGTATCAGTGCTCGCGGTATGGCAGCGACAACTGCCACTTCGAACACGATCGCCTTTAGCACGGGGGGTGCCAGTGGCGGCGGCGGCGGTGGTAGTGGCGGTAACAGTGATCCCTTAACGCTGAGCACGTCAACTGGCAATCCGTTCAACCATTTTTCGGGGAACATGGACCTGGAATTTGAGCTCTTCCCCAGTTCCACATGGGATTTGGATAGTAGTGCCGGGTGGACGGATAGGCCGGAGTCGAGAGCAAGCGGGCCACCAAATTCACGACCACCTTCCCAGCCATCCCCGACACCACCGAGTCCACAGGGAACTTTCTCTAATTCGACGTTAATGCCTATAGACAGACTTAGCCCAAATCCAGTCTGCATCGCTCCTACCTTCAGTAATTCGTTCCCCTTCAGTCCTCTTCAGGAGACGACACAGACAGCTACATTGAGCAATGCTGCCACTAATGTCAACACCAACGGCGGCGGCGGTGCCGGCAATAGCGGTATCAGCAGCGGAGTTAGTGGCGTCGGTAGTAACACCACAACAACCGTCAAACGAACTGAGGAGAGCAACAAGAGTGGATGTCCTACTAGCAACAGTGGTGGAGGCGGTACCATGGACAATACGACCACGAGGACCAGCAACACTGCCGCTACCGCTGTTGAAACTCAGAACAACAGTGTTGTGTCCACTGAGTCCGGTAGGCTCAGAAACTTATTGACGAAGGGCCCGAGCGCTAGTGACGATAGCCAGGACAATACAAACAACGATTCGGATAATCAGAATAAACATCGGATATTAAAAATCCTGTTGAACCAACAAGATGAAGACGACTATCATCCGGAACATAAAGTGCGTACGAGCCCTAGCAACATGCCAAAGCCGAGCATGGAGCACTCTAAATCGTCGCTCGGAAATAACATGTTATTGCAAGTAAGTCGACCATTTGTAATTAATCTATGATTTTGTAATAAAAAAAAAAAAGAAATATTAGTATCTTAAAAGAGCCGCTCTATCAAGAAAAAAGTAAAAATGATTAAAACGAATTTAATCGACAGCAATGGGGTTGTTTGGGTCTGAAGCAAAAATTTTAGATGATTGTACAATTTATATAATTGTTACTATGAGGTATATTGTAAATTGTAGATAAACAAAATTTTATTTCTTTATCATTTAATGTAAGGCGGAAGTTCACTTGCATTCTGCTCAACATTCAAACAGAACTTAAATATTGTTTTCATAACTGTAGTTGACGGTAAAATTAAAAAAATTAATATATTTTCAATATATTTTGAGTTTAAAAAATAATTTTTCAATATATTTAAATATTTAAAAAAAAAGTTTGAATTTATAGTCTTCTCATGTCTTAAATGGAGTTAAAAATGGATGTTTAAGAAATAAATAAAAAAAATTTATTAAAAATTTTTAAATTATGACCTATGATTAAATAATAATTCAATTTTACAAATTTTTATTGAAAGTTATGAACAATCAAAATCGTAAAAAATTATCTTTTTAAAACTATAAATAAAATTCAGCAAAAATTTGTTAAGGAAGAGAAAAAAAATCATTGATTATAATATAACTAATCAGTAAGAAGAAGAAAATGATTAAAATGTATTGATTTAATAAATGACAGCATATAAAGAGAGATAGTTTTGGCCTATGATTTCATAATTGCATTTTTTCTTTTTAGACTTTTGCATTTTTCTGTACAAATTGTATACGGATCTCTAATTTAACAGATCTCCTTTTTTTAATTCCCATAATTATTCTTTCTTTTTTGTGTTTTAAGTTATTAAATGAAAAAAATGACGACGAGGATGAAGAAACACGTGCCGGGAAGAAAAGAAATGAACTCCTGCAACAGCTGATGAAAGATCAAGACGAAGAAAGAAAATTGCAAGAACAACAAGTACGTTTTATATTTTAATTTGAAATCAAAATAATGATGCTCAACGATAAAAGAAAGAATAACTTATCATAAATCAAGTCAACTAAGAAATAAAATAAAAATAATATTCCAAATATGCATGATAAGATAAGAAGTAATTTTCTATAAGATAAATCAAAGTTATCTTATGGACAGTTCAGTACATGGACAAAATATGATAATATAAATCAATATAGTATCAAAGATTTAGAAACTGTCTAATATTTCGAAAACAAAGTATTTTTGAGAAAAATGTTTGAGACCAAAGTTGTAGGGTTTAAAAAGATCTATTTACTGATGATTTATTTATTTGACTTCGGGTGGTGTCGCCAAAGGTCAAAATCAAATCGATTTTTTTAAATGGAACGCTGTATTTTTGATGACAGAATCTAATAGCTGGTGTCAAGAGTTTTTAAAAACTAGAATAAAGTCATTTTTTATTAAGTACTTTTCAAGTTATAAGGCTTAAAAGTTACAGTATCGCCGACATTAGTATTACGCAAGATGACCGATGACTAAAACCTCTTGAATGCTATTCAAAATCATGTCCTGGATAACATTTGTCAAGACTAAAGCCATTGGAGGTTGTACTTTTTATTTTTATTTTAACGTAAAAATGAATTTTTCAAAAATGAAAATAAGAGGAATAATTTCCAGTGGATAATTTAAAATATTGTAATAACTTAATTTGCTTTATCCAACCCATTCTTTATGTTTAAAATTCTGTAGATAATTTTTTCAATGTTTTAAACGATTCATGAGCACGAGAATAAAAATTGTCGTTAGAGGCTCGCATTCGCTGCCTATTCTTGATCGGTGGCTGGCTGCAGCGGCCAGTTTCAGCGTCATTATAGGCATGTTCTTTTTAGTTGAACTTTCGCACCAGTTAATTTTCTTTTTCTCTCCAGGAGGAATGAAGAGGAGAAAGATGAACTGGTGCAAAAGTTCAGCTAAAAAGAACAATCCTTATGTGTCATGAGCTTAAGAGATTGGATACGTTTGCTCCACCATACATTTCAGGACCTACTTAAAATAAAATGAGATAGATAATGCATAAAGGTTTCTGATGGACGTACCGCGCGCGATATTTGCCGCTTCTATTAGTAGGCATTTTAAGATAGAATGAGACATCCACGCATCTTATTCTATTTTATGTATCTGTCTCATTCTATTTTAAGTAGCTTGAATGAAAAATATGGCGCACCAATCAGAAATTGTCTAAACGATCTCCAATCTTTTACTTGAAGATCTCTAGGTTACATGCAATTAAGTGCATGTTTTTTTCAAACGCGCGCATGTAAATATCGATTATGTATTTTAAAACGAGGTGAAAATTACAAAAGTGAGCAAAGTTACTAGGTTTTGACCAGTGGAATTATAAACAATTAATAAGGCCCTAATTAAAATTCTAAAGTCGCATCAACTTTGGTTCTGTTCTTTTTAGCTGGACTTTTGCATGGTTTATCATTTTTCTTTTTCTTTTTAATGGAGAGAAAAAGAAGAAAGATGAATCATGTAAAAACTTTAGCTAAAAAGAACACATCTTTTAATTTTCCCTTCTATATCCTGCCTTGTTGCAAGTCGTGGCGTCATTGTTCGCTCGCTTTACTTGTTGCGATGAGTAACAGCAGTAGGAAGAATTGTGAGAAACGTGCAGTTTAACATGTGCTAATCTACACTCAATTGTGGAATTAAAACTTCCTTTAGGGACTCATGAATGGATACTACGATTAAATTTAACAATACATGTTGTTTCAAGTTACCTGTCCCAAGTCACATTTACGATAACATATCGGATAATCCAGGCTCTAACGATTAGTAAGCTCAGTAGTTTAGTTTAACATCGAACACGCGTATTAAGTACCATACCCGTACCAAATCACTTGATACGCTTGGTATAAACGCTGGCGAATTATTTTGGTCTGATACTTCTGAATCACGAGTATCAGATCAAGCTGATACGCGCATCAAATGATATCAAAGAATCTCAGTGTACTGTAAACGCTTGGTTTCGTTTTGGTTCGTATATTAAAATTCGCCATTGCTTTTAAAGTTAGAATTAGAAGTTTTATATCTTGAAAAGTAGTGAAGATCACGTTACCTAATCTGATCTGTTCTGAGACAGATCGGTGTAAATAAGGACGTATCAAATATTCGCATCGATTTAATACGCGTACTAATTGATTTAACGATGTAAAAAGAGTCATTCACTTTCGTTTTTACCTCGTTTCAAGATGCATAATTGACCAGAAGACCAAAATTTGTTAATTAAATGAATGAAAAAAGAGGAAGGAAAGGGAGAGAAAATGGAAGTGGAAAAAAATATGGTAAGTGAAAGAATGATAATGTAGATTAAGCGTTCTTTTTTCTGCTCTTAGCACAGAGATAACGACCCTCTTTTACGAAGTCTTGGATTTAATACCACGTCACCGTCTCCGTCGCAATCAAATGATCATATAGGTCTCGGGAACACGACGCAGGTAGGCCAGAAGAGGCCAGGAGAGGATGGTGATTTGAACATAGCCGTGAAGCGACCTGTGGACGGCTCGCAGGTGTCTTCTTCGGGAACAAGCTCCTCGAATAGCGCAACGAGTAAGCTGTGGGAGAAGAATAAAATGTTGGCGTCTTTGTTAGCGAAAAAACCGCCACCAACGAATATCCCACAGATTTCTGCGTCTGAGATATCGGAAACGCCACAGGTACGATTTGAACAAATTTTTTATTAAATATAATATATATTCGAAAGACTCGATACTAAAAAATAAAAAAAAATACACGGCAAATGAGAGTCAAGCGCAGTTAATGGAACGTAAATTACATTTTGGCTTCTCTTAATTCCATCAGAATCTATTGTATATAAATATTTAACAGATTGAAGGACTTTTCTTCTACAGCAGAAAAATAGTTTAAATTTACAAACTGACACTGAAGGTCTTTAAAGGCATATATATCTATTGTAAATAAAATTTGACTTTTCAATACTGACAGTCCGTCTCTTCTCTCTCCGTGTTGATCCGTATCAGCGAGCGTACATTATAATCGATACACAATGTCTATCTTACATGCCTCCCACTTTATATATTCTAATAATTCTTCATACTAATAATAATTTCTAAAATAAGTTTTTCATGCTTATATGGACACACTTGTTTGAATAATTTACATATAATTTTTGGTAAGTTTTAATTAATTAGAATTTCGGTATGTTAATTTAATCGCGTTTATTTTTTCGTAAGAAGTCTTTTTATCTTTTTTATCAACTAGAACTTTTCCAAGAGATATGAAACACATTTGACTGTTCAATTGTATGTGAATAATGTCGAGTTCTACATCAAGGCTTACCCAAACTGTGATTATAGTGAATATGCGAACATTTCCGATAATTAATTTTGTATTGCTATTTTTTTTTGATAAGTTAATGTCCGAAGAGGGCTCAATCCGGTAGCCGAAACTTTGTTTTTATTTTATTATATTTTTTCAATTTTACTTTTCTCTTAATTTGTAATTTATTCTTTTAATTGTGTGACAATTTAAAAAAAATGTGTTTGACTCTTACTTTGCCCTTTATTTATTGTTATTTAATCTATATAAAAATAGGCAAGATTCTTTTTTTTAAATAATAATTGTAATTGATTTTTTAATTAGGAGAAGCTGCTTCGCTTAAAACAGCAGCCGCCGAAACAGCAACAGCAACAACAACAACAACAGCAGCAGCAGCAGCAACAGCAGCAGCCGCAACAACAACCGCAACAACAGCAGCCTTGGACTGGTGGCAATTTGCAAGTTGGTAATAATAATGCGATTACAACGACCGCGACGTCGGCGCGTCCTCTCCAAAGCCAGTCGAGACAACTACCTCGTCCAGCAACCAATACCTACCTCAGTCATATGCTAAGTCAGGTGAGTGCGATTAAATTTAATTTAACAAAAATTGTAAATAACTTTAACTTGTTTGCCATGTGTGGACAAGTTGCATATTGTATATAGCTTTTTCATTAATGATTGAATATTTATATAGTGACAAGTTGGTAAATTAGTGAATGGTAAATTAGAATGACAAAGATAAAACAGATGAGAAATTTGCAAAGCACAAAAAGAAATGAAAAATAATTAAAGAAGACTCTCCCTTAATCCTCTCTGAAGTCTGGAGATGGCCATCAGTATCCTTATTTAATCGCGTATACGCTGTTAATTTTCATTGTTAAGTTAGGGTAGATTTTAGGTTAGGTTAGGTTAGGTTAGGTTAGGTTAGGTTAGGGGAGATTTGAAAAGAGCAACATATGCTATGACCAAAGAGGTTATAATTTTTTGTGACGCTATGTTGGAGGATAAACTTCTTCTCCTCGATGCTCCTAAATGCTTCTGGATATATCAAATGCTTGGTTCACAATCTTGCTTTAAGAGGCTGTAAACCGTAAGCTGTAAGTTATAAGTGACAATATATCGGCCACAGAACTTATACTATTATAGTTATACTTTTAGACCGTAAGAATTGGATTTTGTCCAATTCGCTTAAGCCTAATGGTTAAAGCCTAAAGACTGCGCAAAAACAGTTAGAGACAAAAATTATTGTCACTCTCTTCCAACTTATGATTTAAGGCCTCTTGAAGTAAGATTATGAACCGAGACAAAGTAGCAATTCTTTTATCTGAGCCAAAATACTGACAAATTTTCTATTGGTTATTTCGACCGCCATTTTTGATCTAGTGGATGTAATCCCAATAAGCGCTTAGTATTATTAGTATTTAGTGTACAAAGTGTCTGATAATTGTTCTGATGAAGTGGATATGTAGAGTAGATTAATGAAGTGGAAAATGAAACGGAAAGTCCTCTACCATTTTGTAATTTTCACAATAGTTAATAAGATATTAATTTTATATAATAAAAATTATCGAAAATTGGTTTTCAATAATTTTGTGCTCAAATATACTATCAATTTTACAGAAAAACAATGCAAAAAATGAAAATTGTTTATGATGTGAAATGTTTATGATGAATTGTTTATGTGAAACTTACGACAGCGTTAACCCTTCGTTTTCTATGCTCACATAGAAAACGAAGGGTTATATCAATGACTCAAATTATAAAGCGTTATATTGTAGCGACGAATCACTTCCGAGAGTCTATGGACTGCCGAAGATCCACAAACCTGATTGCCCTCTTAGAATCATCGTTTCATCGATAGGCAGTCCGCTGTATTCATTGGCTATATACTTACATAACATATTATTCAAGACTTTCCCAAAAGCGGATAGTCACATCAAAAATAGTTTTGAACTAGTCTAACAATTAAAAAGATTACGACCCACAGGTGATCATAAGTTAATTTCACTAGATGTGACATCACCTTTTACTAATGTTCCAATGGATATAGCGGTCGATTGTGTGAATGAGCAAACAATGGAATTTTATTTCCAAGGATTGCTCTTTGCCTAAGAACGAGTTATTGGGGGGCGATAAGGTTTGTCTTGGATTTCACTTTTTTCTCTTTCGACAATAAGATTTATAAACAAAGCCTCGGTACTCCCATGGGCTCTCCTTTATCACTTATAATTGCAGACCTAGTGATGAGGAGATTAGAGACGGTGTCTTTGAGGTCATTATAAATCTGGATATCTTATTTTATTGTAGATATGTTGATGACATATATGCACCGCGGTGTTGCTGTCTAAAATCGACGTTTTACTACAACAATTCAATTCGTTTCATCCTCGTCTCCAATTCACCACAGAGGTGGGGGGGGGGGGGGAGATAAAATGAATTTTCTTGACATAATCATATCTATACATAGGAATCGCTTTATTTTCGATTGGTACGTAACGTAAGCCTATCTTTTCAGGTAGATTTTTAAATTCTAACTTGAATCACCCAATTGCACAGAAAAAAGGTACAATTTTTTCGCTTGTTGACAGAGCTTTGTTACTTTCTGACTTTAGGTTTTATTCTAAAAATTTGACTTTGCTAATCAACATTTTACTTGATAATAATTATCCACTGACTTTTATTTTTGACACTGTTACTCAACGCATAAAAAATTTAATTAAAAGTAGACACTTGATACATAAAGATTTGACAATGTCAGTACGAAAGAATCAGCTTCTTGGCTACGGTACCATTCATTCCTTTTCACACAGAAAAGTTTAAGCGATTTAATACAAACGACATCAGGGTTTCTTCCCATAGTCCTAACAAAATGGAGAAATATAATGAAGATATATCAAAGTACAGAAGGATACTTGTCCCCAAACATTTAAGAGGAATGTGGTCTATAAGATATCGTGCAATAATTGTGTACCGACGGTCCGTCTCTTCTCTCAATCCTTGGTGATCCGTATTAGCGAGCGCACATAACAATCGATATACAGTGTCCGTCATATACAATGTCACATCTGCGTTCTACTTAATTCTGTATATTCTGATGGTTTGTCATACTTGTATGGACGCTTTGAATAATTTATTGTTACTTGTTTTTACTATTATTACTTGTTTTTTGGTGAGTTTTAATTACTTTTATAGAATTCCGTTATGTTAATTTAATTGCGTTTATTATTTTTTTATAAGAAGTTTTTTTTATCTTTTATCAACTAGAACTTTTTCAAGAGATATATTATAAATACATTTGACTGTTCAATCGTATGCGAATAATGTCGAGTTCTACATCAAGACTCACCCGAACTGTAATTACGCGAACATTTCCGTTAACGATTATTGTACTGCGGTTTTTTTTTATATGTCTGAAGAGGGCTCAATCCGGTAGCCGAAACTTGTAACTTTTTATTTTTTAATTTTAATTTTGCTTTATATAATTTTATCTCGTGTTAATTGTAATTCTTTGTGGAATTTTAAAGAATTGTATCGACTCTTACTTTACTCTTTATTTATTGTTATTTATTTTGTATAATAAGAGTCCTTCAATTTTATTTAAAAATTGTTCATTTTATTCTCATAGAACTTTGAACTCTCATACTACTTTCTCATAGAAAATAAATAAATATATAGTATGTGCTGGAGTATGAGTTTGCGAAGTATGTGCTAGATTACTATAGGAAGTTAAGACATGATTTTTGCGGAAATTAACTTTACGGAGGTTCGACTGCAATATAGTTTTAGTATACAATATAGTTATTTAGTATGTAATATAGTTATTCAGTATATAATATAATTATTAGTTCAAAATGGATGACTTTTGCGTTACTGTGGTATATCTAGAGCTTTACTCAATGTCGCCCCACTTAGCTTTCAAAATTTGAACATTACGTGTATCGCGCTACATGTAATTGCACCCTGATCTGAGAGTATATTTATAAGAGAAGCGCGACCGACTTATGTCAGTATCGCAAAAATACTAAACAATACTAGAAGAAGTACTAAAAATGGCGTTGTTTGCAAGATGGATTATGAAATTCATCAATCATCTATTAAGCAGCCATTTTTAGTAAGTTTGTCATTGGCTTGCTAATCATATGATTGCAATGACCAATCAGCGCATCTATTAGAAAATAATGAACTTATTAATATACCCAAATCTTTTTATCTTATATCTTTTATCATTATTATATATATAATTATATATAATTTATATTAAATCTGATATATTTACAAAATAAAC